ATAAGTTTCAGAAAAATTTGTCCAATATTAATTCAAGATAATCTAGAGAAAGTGGATTAAACCTAATAATATTTCTTTTTCTATTTTTGTGTGGATTACTACTGTTAATTTCACTATGGTTATTTGTGGGGTTTAAGTAAGATAGTTTATGTGCAAAACAACTTTTCTGAAGGACATTTTCATACAATGCTTTATTCTTATCAAATATATTCTTTTTAGATGAGAGTTTATTGATTCTAAAACCAACGGTAATTGATATCTGCTTCAAGATTGTATGGAGGTTGTTCAAGTTAATGTTAATATAATTAGGAGTTTCATATATATATATATATTTAGTTGGATTGATGTGAGTTTGTGACCTTGGATTTCACACTATTTGCAATCATCAGAAAACTGACGATCACAAATAGCGTGAAACCCAGGTTCACAAATTCACATCAATCCAACTAAATATGTTAGTTCTATCACTGATATTGAGTGCTTTCCAATAAGTACCATGCATATATAATATATAAATAATATATATAAAAAATTGTATATATACATTTATATTTATATACAAACACATTTTACACACATATATATCTATATCAATATATATCATATATATATATATATATATATATATATATATATATATATATATAAGTGTATGTGGTAAAGTATGAAGACAAAAGGAAAACTTACCTTAACAAATGCATTTTGTCCTCTGATAGACTTTATCAAGGCAGATGTGAAGGTTTTATTTTGCAACATGTAAGCACAAATAAAAATGTTAATTTTTTCAGAATTTTAAACTTTAACTAATGACATTTTTACTTATAAATACTTGTTCTAAAATAAAACCTTTATATCTGCCTTTATAAAATTCATCAGAAAACAAAATGTATCAGATAAGTTTTTCCTTTTGTTTTTATTTATATTGTCCTTTTACATATATTTTAGTTATATCTAAATTTTTACACATCTGTATGTATGTCTAAATGTACATGTCCTGTCTTGTAGTACAATATAAAATGAAAAATGCAATTATAATGCAATATCCATTGTCATCTCATTTAAAATTTTTCTCTCTGAATTCTTTGACCCCACGTTGTCGCAGACACTATTAATTTCAAAGAATGGTTCCATTTACCTTTAAAGATGCATTATTTTTTTAGAGATTTGAAGAATAAATTCTTTCATCTTCTGTACAATGTTATGATGTCACATCCAGAAGTGAATTCCCTTCATATTTTCCATTGAAATTAGCTTCAGGTGACACTGACAGTAAGAATCGATGTAATTTTCTTATGTCCTGCAGTTTGGTTGATTTTTTTTCACTTACTCAGCATGCTTTCTCATGAAGGCAAATCTAGACTTTGTAGTTAATCTTTCTGTTGCCTTTGCCTTTGCTGACTTCTTTTAGCACAACCATTCCCAAAAGCAATAGTCCGCAATCAATAAAATACTTTCATTTTAATTGGTAGGAATTCAGCTTCGTTCATCCAACACCTGAAGGAAGTGATGCATATGCTAAAATTTAATTAAAATCTCAATGGAAAAAAAACTTCTACCAAATGTCAAGTCAAAAAAATCCCAACATTCTACTTATTGCATGTGTGTTCATTTCAAATCAAATATATATTCACAGTCTTCAATGAATTTTAATTATTTAACATTTTCTCACTTTGGGCTATTAATTAAGTTACTAATTAATAGTTGGATGCGAGGAAACAGCATCTTTAGAGAGAGGAAACGAAATAATTTATTTTTTTATAATACAACAAATTCACGAATTAAAAGAGAAAAAAAGATCATATTTACTTTGAAATAACTACTTTTCAACATTAACATTTAGATGTTTGACAAGAAAGAAATGGCTTTATCCGTAAATTTTAATCAAAACAATTTTTTTTTTCATCCTTGCTTATAGTTCTGTGAAGTTATTTTAATTCTTAAATATTGTTTTGGAGTGTATCTGGAAGAAACAATACAAAGAAGTTGGTGGATAAATACTTGTTATAGGAAATGTTGTAACCTAGAAATGGTTACTGAATGAGGAATAACCAAAAAGGAGGTTGAAAATGAAATGGTAATCTTTATAACATCAACAAAATACAATACTCGCCAGCAGCATGGAGTAGGTAAACCACTGTTACTGATGGACTACTTAAACAACATATTATCCTCCCCACCACCACTTACAATAGTGTCCAACATATTTATGAGGATTGGGACATACCCATTAGTGTTCATAGGTACATAGGTATATAACAGGAAGGTATGTTGTCATGTTATGTGACATCATCTCATTTGTCTAGTAGCTGAAGATGGGTTTGAATTCAAAGTGTTCTTTCTACTAGACAGGTTGTTAACCAAGGTAAGAATACCCAGCATGTCTTATACATTAATATTTTCTCCTGAGAAATTTCCCCTCTTGCAAATCTATTGAATGTTTTATGTACCCTGTAAATATTGAAGAACTAAAGGGTTTTTACCAGAGTGCATACATCACTGTCAAATATGACACTAGGTCAAGGTTTAAGGTGGATTAACAGGAAAATCATGGAAAAATTTCCCAAGCCCTCTCGACACTTCCCCTTTTGGGGATGCCTCAGGTGCAGGGCAATGAACCCAGCCCCCTCCCGTAAATAGCAAAATAAATGAGTGACAAATTTGCATTGTTGCATCTGTGAAGAAAAGCCTACAGAAAGGTGAATATATTGTCACTGATAAGACTGTGTAAATGATTTTATACTCTATCACTTTACAATACAGAATATCTTGTTATTTTATAATCTTTAATATTTCCCAATTGTAAAATTAAAGTTCATGGAAATATATAGGGTGAACAGCACAAACCATCCTGGGTAAGGCAATAAACTATGTCCGAAAAACAAGGCCCCTGATCAGGAAGTTTTGAGGAGGAGCATGGAACCACCTCTTAATTGCTGGTGTTTTCAGGTTCACCCTGACCCGGGGTGGTAGCATCTGTTATGTTCCCAGCTATGAGCAAATAGTTAACCCCTAAGATGCGGTCAAAACACTATGAAAGTATAAAAATAGGTTTTAATATCAGAAATACTTTTTTGTAAAAAATTATTACAAGAAATACATTATTACCAGCAACACATTTGTTAAAAAAAATATTACCACCAATAGATATTACCAGCAATAAAAAACTTTCTCAGCATTAAATAACCCATTGATGTTGATATGCCATAAACCAAACCAAACCAAAACTGAATAGCACAAATAGTCCAATATGCAAAACAGAATAAAAGAATGAACTGGATCAAACGTAAGACAAGCAACAGGTTCTATAAAATCAAAGTAAGAATCACTGATAATTGAAAAAGAAAAAAATACTCCAAAGATTTAGCAAATATGGAAACTTTTCATGATTCAAGAGAGAAACGAATGCTTTAAAATACGGAAGGGCCAGAAATATTAAAATCTGAAGTAAAATCAGCACCAAAGACAATGAACAGGAACCAACCAGCAGAAATGTTCTCAGCCTTAAAAGATTTTGGTATCAACATGATCACAGAAGTAATACACAAAATATACAACAGTGGAAACATGCTGAAGAACCTCACTAAATGCATCTTTGTGATATTACCTAAGCAACCAGGTGCAAATGAATGTGAACTTCTATTAGACAATCAGTTTAATGAGCCACATGACCAGACTAAAGAAACGAATCCTGATGAAAAAAAAAACATGAAGCAGAATTAGACTTGAAATATGTAAAAAACAGAACAGCTTCATCAAGGACATTAGAACAATAAATTCAATATTCATGATTAGAATGACATCAGAGAGAGCAATAGAAATGCAAAAGTTTGTGCACTTATGTTTTATAGATTACACAAAAGCATTTGACATGGTATGGCACAAGGATCTTTTGGAACAGGTAGGAAAACTAGATCTATTTAGAAAATATGTTAGAATAACCCAGAATGTATAATGGAAACAAACTGACTGAATACAGATAGAAAATGTATTGAATAGCTACACCAAAATAGAAATGAACACGAGACAAGGATGTGTCTTCTCCATCAATTTATTTAACTGCTACAGAGACACTATATAAAGAGAACTGGATACCCTGCCATCATTTATTATTGATAGGTGTAATCTTAACATGATAAGCTGATGACACTGGGTTAATGGCTGACTCAAAAATAAAATTACAGGACCTCCTAGACAGTGCAGTAGAAGAAGGAGGATTAGAAGGACCATCAAATACAGAAGACAGAATCTATGGTCATCAGCAAAAGAAGAAGCCAAAGATGTGAAGAGTTATAAATTGAAGACTTCAGGAGTTCAAATATCTGGGAAGCATTTTAAAAGAGGATGGAAAATCTGACACCAAAATCTGAACATGCATTGAACTAGTGAATGATGCCTTCCAAAAGCTAAGCAAAGTAGTGAGAAACAGAAAAATTTCATTAGAAACAAAGAAAAGAGTGCTGGATTATGATGTGGTATCCAGCCTCTTATATGACAATAACGAATATTTGACAATCTTCCCTTGAATGAGGAAAAAACTAGAGGCAGCAGAAATGTGGTTCTACAGAAGGATATTGAGAATTCTATGGACAGAATGAGGAAGCCATAAAGATGAAACAAAAAGAACACTTATACATCATCAGGATAGATAGCTGAAATTCCATAGACACATAATAAAGAAGGGGGAATTTAAAAATTTAACTATCACAATACATATAAAGATTGATTAATTGATTGGTTTTTATGGTTTATCAACCTTTTGCATGTTATTTAAAACCAAAAAACATTTTTAGATTGTAAGAACTTTTTGTAGGTGATAACAATTTACTAATACAAGTCCTACTATTTAACCCATAGCTGGGACAGTAGTGTCAGATTCATATCTTTTCAAAAGGGAATGTTTACATAAGTGAATATAATGAACCTGATTGGAATTGGAACTTAATTGACTTTCTGATTTCCAAGTTTGATCTGTTATCTATTGCACCACTTGCACAACCAAGCTTACAGCACTTGGTATTACCAGCTGGTCACCCATCTTGGTATTGATCAGGCTCAAAATTACTTAACTTCAGTAATTATATGAGACCCAGTGTTTCAACATGATATGACAGCAAACTGACATATTGAGAGAAAGAGAGATAAGGGAAAGGAGAAAGGAAGCTATTTACCTGATGAACTTGTGTGAATTGATGGCAGAGATGGATTGGGAGCCTTACCAAAAGGAGAGAAACTGCTAGGGCCACAAGGGATAGGAAGGTGTGAAGAGCCATGATCACCTATATCCTTAAGGGACACAGCACATAGATGAAGAATTGTGAAATTCTATTTACTGAGAAAATACCTCATACCAAAATGTCTACCAAACATTGTTCAATAGTCAATAACAATCAGGATAGATATGAACAGACTGCGATAGATAGATAGATAGATAGATAGATAGATAGATAGATAGATAGATAGATCTGAACAGACTTAAATAGATAGAAAGGAATTGAGTGTCAGAAGTAGAATGTGGGTGACAAATAAAAGAATAAAAGCAAAAGACACAATAAAGAAAATAGAAAACATGAACAAATTCTAGAAATAAAAAGGCCAATTGGATGAAAATCCCAACAAAAGGAAATTGAATGTTCAAAAATGTTTGTGAATGAAAACGTTTTTATAAAGTATAAAATTCTGTCTTTCAAACTCAGAATTCAAGCTAATTATTAACCAAGTTTAGGCAAGAACTGAGAATGCCAACATGAAAAAAAACATACATCACAACAAAAAGTTACAAATATATTAATGTTTTTTCAAGCATAGAACTAGTCAGAAAATGTCTGTGCCATTATAGGCAAGAAGAGAGAATTTTTTCATTGAATGTCAAATTAAAAAGGGAAAAATAAATAAACCAAAAATGAATTAAAAAAAATGTGAAACTCTTCTAAGTAAACTGAAATGCATGGAAAAATAGATAGACCTAATAACAGAAGGAAAGAATGAATGAAAATTTCAAATGAAGAAAAAAAAGACTGAAGTGAATAAAAAGCAATATATGACCAGAAAAAAAAGAAGAAAAATTTCTAAATAAAATGAATTAAAGACACGCAGGAAATGAGCAAAAATAATGATTTGGAAAAAAAATAATAAAAATGATTGTGAAAATGGAAGATATTTTCAAATAATGAAAGAAAAATAGAAAAAGAAAGAAAAAATCTGTAAAAAGATAAACTGAATATAAAATTTAAAATTAAAAATAAAAGAAATGAATAAAAAACAAGAAGAAAAAATGATAAACAAAAGAAAAAATAAATAAAGAACGACTGAAAAAGAAAAAGAAAAAAGATAAATGAACAGACTGAGATCGATTCATGATATAAAAAGTAAAATATTCAGACATTGAAAGAAACACTATTTTCTTCTGATGTTTAAGAACGACATTTCTTTTTTCTTTTTGATAATCTAATTCTTTTTTTAGTTTACTCTTTCAAATTAAAGACAATTCAAATAGTCAAACCTGTAATTATTTCGGCACAGATTTTTTTCTTGCTTTTTAATTACTCATCTTCACATTTTAAATTATTACAATTACTTTTGTTTTCTTACGAAACAAATGTTATGCCAAAAATTAAAGCCATAAATTAAGTATCTTTCATTAAAACAAAACCATTTTTTTTAACTGAACTAAAGATATTGCTTATCATCGATTTACCTAATATCACAAAATGCTTCTTCCATTTTCCTTTTAATTCTAGGACGATTAACATGTGGCAAGACTGTTAACATGCATAAAGTAATTAGAACATTCTCTTTTTCTTGTTTTTTAAAATGCTACACTAAACATTCACTACTAAGCCTGTAGATTTTACCAAAGACAATTTGTGCTTGAAACCTTGCAGACTAGCACTACAGAATCACAAAGAACTGTACCAAATAACAGAAACCACATCAATTGAGGACAACCAACAGCAGCAACAACTAAAATGGATAGCACATATAACTTGAAGAAAAATAATGAGATAAGCAGATGACATTCCACACTACTTCAAGCAAAATGTTAGGAAGGAACTTTCTATCAATACTTAAAAGAGCCATGACAGTAACAGGGCTTGAGAAACTTGAGAAATTAGGAAAATTATTTTAATAGGAATATAGTAACAATAGTAATTCTGGTTTCACAATCAATGAATGCCAAATGTTTCCTTATGAAGAAATGACAAATATTACTATTACCATTAATATCAAAGAAAAGAACATAAGAATTAATTTTAGTCTTTCAATATTTTAACTGCTTATTTTGTTTATTTTTGTTGTTTTTTTAAGCATTTCACCCCAAGCAAGGCAAGAATGCCACTAGTGCACAAGAGGTTACAGAGAGTGAAAGTAAGCGAAAAGAATGGGTATAGAGAGTATTGAGGAAAGGATAAGAAGAATGATGAAGGATAAAAAGAAGAAAGAGGATCAAGGCATCAGAAGATGTCAATTGACATTACATTTCAATTTTTAAAGATTATAGCTATCAGGGAAGCAAGTAAGAGGAAGAGAGTTCCACTGCTGGTAAGTGCAAGAGAAGAAGCTGTTGAAGTAGAAGAAATGATTACATTTAACTGTTTTGACACTAAAAGGGTGGGACTGAAATGCCAACCTCGTAGCATGCTTAAATTCATGCATTTATTACACCCATGAGAATAGCTTTTAGAGCAAATGCCATGAAAATATTTACATTCAATATGATGAAATATACAGTTGCAGACATATGTACATGCATGTTTGCATGCGTGTGTGGGTATGTATGTGTGTGTTGATGTGTGCATGTGTATCCAGTAAAAAAAGGAGTATTCTCATACATGAAGAACCTTTATTTAATGTGTTTGCACAATAGATATATTTTGGTGCTAAATTTATGAATATGAAGATGAGAAATCAGCAGCTGTAGATGTAAAAATTCCATTCTTGAAAAGATTTATTAGAAATAAGAGAAAGAAATTATAAATCTAATAAAATTAATATTTATTTATAGAATAATTACTTGCAGTTAATTCTTAAAGATATTTTCTATAAGACTTAACCAGCACTTGATACCATTTTTATTGAATCTATGGCATATTCTTTGCAAACAAACTTCAACTTGGTAAAATTACTCCAATAGTAGAAACCGTAGTCTTAGTGATTTTGGCTTCCAGGCTTATTTACCATCAGCCTAGGAACATACTTTGAGCTTTAGTGGATATCTATGCAGATGATATAACAGTTTAAAGGTGCACCTCCCAAAGTCTAGACAACCTGAACCTAGCAGCTGATCTCTCCTCTGACCGAGCTCTAACAGCACAATGTGGGAAATATTTGGCTTGTAACATTCAATAAATGAAAAAAGTAATATTCTGTCATCGTCAAGCAAACTCAAGAATTTTTGCCAAGCATGATGAAAAAATGTTCTCTCAATGAGACTTCTTGCATTGAATGCCTATTGGAACACAAATACACTCCAGCCATCAAGGGAAACACTTATATACGGTATATCACTAAAGAAATGGTCAAGTTCCTTGTACCGTTCCTGTAAGTACCTGTCTATTCCTGCTATTTTCTTCCTTTACAAGTGTCTATGCTGTCTTGTGAGTGATAAGTTGTTTTCCATCCTACAACCCCTTTCTACACAGCCTATCACTGCTCTGTTGCTATTTCCAAGGCAATTGTTTTGACAAGATACATTTCTTAGTTCCACCAGTTCTGATCTTCACAGCTAAAACCCGCCATACCATGTACACTGTGAAACTATCCTCATTTGTTTCTTTTTCCCTTAGTGAAGAGAAAATTTCACTTGGACAGCTTCTTCCCAAGACTCCTGAGAGGATGCTTTCCGAACCATTGCAATCCTAACCTCGTCAAGTCTAGGGTTAACTTCTTATTTGTTACTCTTACAACTCATACAATAACCTCCTTCAGTTTCCTCTATACTGAGTGGCTCTTGGAACTTGTATTAGCTGAATATAAATAAAAAGTAAATTCATTGTGATTATTAACTGTTGACTAGATTCTCTTTGATTATTTTTGTGGCTGCTTTTACTTTTTATGACCAATAAAAATAAAGAAGAACTTTTCCTAAGATTTGAATTGACATCAGTTTCAGACAGGCTTCTCTACAGATATTTGGTGTAAACAAACAATAGATCAAAAAGTCCAATAGGAAGGAGAAGAATGCAATGAAATTGCAATGATGCTTTTTGTTTAGTTTCTACTTTCTAAACTGTTTATCAACCGTTTGCCAGTTATTTTTACACCAGAAAATATTTTTAGATTGTGAGATTTTTTTTCGAGATAACAATCATTTAGTGATACAAGTTTTACTAATTAATCAATATTTGGATTAACTTTCCAAAGGGTATATGCACATAAGTGAATATAATGAACCAAATATGAATTACAACTCGACGTAACAATTCCAAGCTGTTATCCATTACACCACATGCAAATCCAAGTATTGGATATTTCCCAGCAGTCACCCATCTAGATACTGACCAGGTTTGATGCTGCTTAACTTTGATGATTATATTTCAATGTAATGTGGCTGTAAGCCAAATATACTCAAGAAGAAGGCATACAAATATTCAAGTCTGTTAAAGAAAATTATGCTTGGGTTGGGTTGATTGATTTTATGACATGTGCCCCATTATCTCAAGAATAGTACCCCACAGAAACTGGCAAAAGCAATAACAATAATTCTAACCCTTCTCTTGGAACAATCAAGCCACCTCATATAAAGAATGTCAGGGAGCCTAGTTGAAAAACTAAAGGAAATAAACATTACTGACACCCATGAACAGTCTAGATATAAAAATCCCTTTACACCAATGTCCTTGTGAAAAAAATGTCTAAATCTCTTAAAAAAGCATCTAACATAATCAAAGTGAAACCTTTCCATACCAACAGTATGAAGTGATGGCATGCATCTTCTTTCTAATTTCTCAAATTTGGTTCTTTCCCAAGTATTTTACCCAAACAATCAACATACCTTTGATATATTAATGATGCTCTATTAATGATACTAATTCACTTGACCTTGTAGATAGACTAAACAAAGTTGACGATACAATAGAATTTGCATATGAAAAGGAAGAATACGATTCCTTACTATTCCTAGATATTTTACTACACCTCTTTGACAACAGCTTAAAACTTGGTGTCCACTGGAAATCAAGCAATAAAATGATCTAATAAATTTCTATTCCCATCACAACAACAAAATAAAATCCGGTATAATCATCAGATTCTACTTAAGAGCACTCAGAATTTGCAGCCCTCAATATTTACATGAAGAGGAGAAATACAATGAAAACACTTTCAACCTTTTTCAGTACCCAAATTATTTAATATTCAATGTGAAACAAAAGGCTCATCAAATATTTCAAAATAGAAAAACCCAATGAATCAAAAAAATATATTATCCTACAAAAAATTTGTTACTACTCCATCTAAAACAATAAAAGACTTAGGCAATATGAAACAAAACAATAAACTAAAACTTAAAGGAGGAATTTACTCAATCAACTGTAATAATTATCACAAAAAATACATAGGAGAAACATCAATGAATCTAAATGAAAGATTATATGAACACCAAAGGACATCAAATATATATATATGTGTGTGTGTGTGTGTGTGTATTGTACTAGTCACACTTTAATTTGGGACTGACATGAATAAGAAAAATACTTTATCAATATGTAATAAAGATATTGATTTACACCTAAACATGAATACAATGGTTAGCATAAACACAATGTCCTTTCCTATATAGAGAGAATATATCAGGTGGACTTAACAATCCGGTGCAGTGAAATAGGGCTAGGTAGCTTGGACCTTTAAAACCCTCGTCAACTGGTACTGTTGGTGGTGAAGAGAATTTCTTATGTGTTACTTCGGAGCAGGTCCGGTTCATTCTCTGGTAGTGGTCAGCTACTTCTGAAATCACATGGTTTTATTAACCAATGAGAGACCACCTATCATATGATCAATCTCTCTATATAGGAGTAGACAAATTTTACAAACCCAACATATATATATATATATATAAAATGGGCACATGGCCAAGTGGTTAGAAGGTTCACTTTCTGACCATGAGATCTGGGTTCGAATCTCATCATGGTCAATTTGTCAGGAAGGAGATTTCCTGATGGTAACAGTCTGGAGGGGGGAACATCTCAGCATGCAGCACCTTTGGAAAGTGCCTGAAAACTATTCCACGAGTTGACCCAAGCCTTGTGAGTAAAATTGGGCAGACGGAACATTTGGGGCTGTCAATAGCTGTGCTAGCACAAAGTCACAAGTCATCATGACTGAGGGTTTGAACGTAATGGTGTTGTTCAGATTGTTGAT